AGTTAAACAGTTGGAAAATTCATTCAGTTGTACAGAAAGGAAGAAGAAAAAACTTCAATGAATAATACATTTGAATGCGCTCGAGTAATAAAAGAAAAATTCAGCAGAATTTTCATGTACTGTATCGCAGTATTATACTCATTGATCAAAATTTTATTACCAACTTCGTCTTCTCGGGATTTTTATAACTAATTATCTTTTAAATAAAAACGAAACGGGGGGAATCTTTGATTGCCTCGAGAAGAACGATATTTTAGTGGTTGATTGTGATTTTTTCGACGTCCTGAAGTTAATCAGGGATTACGGTTATAATGTGATCACTGAAGAAGATAATAATAACCGTTATACAACCAAAATAAGATGGATTGTGGAGACTATAAACGGTAGGAGAAAACAAATCCGTTTTTTTGATAAAGTTGTTCCTAATAGTTAGTTAATATATGTTCATGAATATTTATGTATAGTTTGTGCAGTTTTGAACGCTTTTAGAAAGCTATTTGTTCTCGGCAGTCAATCGATGACGTGTCGAGTTACATATTTTGTCGGTAATTACCCGGCTGCTAGTGGATACATATTAGTCACATCGTTAATTCCATCAGGTGACCGTTGCGAACACAAAAAACATTCAAATAAAATAAAAATGTTTGAGAAAGAATGAAAAGGAAAAAAACAATCTAAAACAATACATATATATATATATATATATATATGTAATATTATAACACTGAATAGAAACAAACAAAAAAAACAAACAAAATCTGACATGGAATTTAACTGTCGGATTTGTATGTTTATCACTGTAATAGCGATGTTATATACTGCTGGAGTTCTTTTTCTTATGTCCAGTGCTGCATATTACATGGAAAATAATAATTTGTCACAATCGAATCCACTGATTAAAACCGAATGTTATGTTCAAAATTTAACAATTCGATATCAAGATAAACATGATACGTTGTATGATATTAAATGGATAGTTAACTATCGAACGAATGATAATTATTTAGCGGAGATATATTCAAAATCCTACACATCGAAAGCCCAAGTTATACAAAAAGCAGATCAATATCAAGTAAGTTTTTGTGTCCAAAGTCTAAAGCGATCAATAAGTGCTCTTTAACAATGTAGATGTGTAATGTGCTAATACACACGAATTAACTATTATTCATTATTTAGGTTGATGGAACATATCCATGTTACTATTACAGTTTAAACAAAAAGTTTGTTGAATGGGAATCATTCTCGAAGAATATCTTCATCGATCTGACATTAGTTAGCGGTTATCTGACATTTCTTCTATTTTTTGTTTGTTTTATGGGATTTTGGATGTATATTGCAAAATTGAGAAAAACTGTCAGTGGCAGTAGTACCTGAATATCAGCTGTTAACATGAGATATTATCGAATAAAAACAACCTATCTTTTGTAAGTTTTTTCTTTTATAACTATAAATAATAAAAATTGACGACATAAACAATAAATTTATAGAAAAAGAACGAATGATCTCTTATCTTTATAATATACTAAAGCGTTGCTCATTAAACAATAGTAAACAATCCTAGCAAAAATATTATGTCCATTTTTTTAACCCATGAATTAACCTAATAAAATGACTACATTCTCTCTCTCGCATACATTTTCTTCCCTGTCATTTTTACAGTAACGATATAACCTTGAGATTTCTTAGTCATGTATTAAAGCAAACTATGAACATGTCATGTGACAATTGTCTCGATTTGTTCTGTATTTCATCGAAATAAAAAAAGTTTATATAAAAAAGAAAATTATTACATATCGAATTATTTATGAAATTCTCTCGATTGTTTCTCAATATCACAATATGGAGATGTATAGGAATAGTGCTTTCATCTCATGTAACTCAATGTCGAAGTTAACGTTAATGAAAAAATGAATTGTCAAGCCCGTTCCCTTCATTGTTTTTATAGATTTTCTCTAAACTTATAAATTCGTTCATAAGTCTCGAGCATTTCTACCGTCACTTTTCTGATTTTTCAGATGTTTTGCGCATAGCATTTCGCACCAAACAGAGAACAATGTTTTCGCTGCATGATGAAAGAAGAATTTTGAAAAAATGCATTTTCAGACTGTTAAAAATTCAGATTAATAATAAAAATTGCACTTTTGATGAAGCCAAACAGTGATATTAGCGGCCTTGTATCTCGAAAGCCGCACAGTATCTATTTTTGAAAAATAGATCGCTACGATGTCGAACATTTTCTCTTTCAGATGCGACAAAAAGTAGAAATGGATATACTCTAACTCATTTCCATTTAACTCGTTAAGTTGAGCGATTTTGCATTAAACTCATAATGAGTGATGTTTTCTTAGATAGCAGAGTAGATCAACGTTTAGAGCAGAGTTCCCAGATCCTCAGGTCAGAAATGCGGAATAAAAATCTCAAAATGCGGAAACTTGCGGAAAATTTATCTCAGAATGTGGACAAAAAGCGGAAACACATTTTCATGGTCTAACTTCATTCGTTTTCACGCACACTCACAGAGTTGCCTGCTGGAGTGCCATAATCGACGCGATTTTCTGCCGTATTGGCATTGATTGTGGCGCCTGAGCTGGCAACTCTGCCGGCACAGAGTCAAAAAAATGTTTTCTTTAGCACTTTGTGGTTTTATTCAATAAAACACAAGAGAATAACAAACAGAAATGTAAGTCCCGATTTTAGTTGACACGTTGTTTTGACTGTATATTTTTAATTAGAATGAATAAGTTTAAGCAGATCTGGCGTTGATAACAAATAATTATAAGTTTCAGTGCATGATAACGATGAGTTTAAGCGAATTTTTAACTCAGCTGCAATCATTTCTATCGACATACGATTTCTTTTATCGTTAAATAGATGTTTCATGGAAGAAAATGCACTTTCGACGTATGAATTACTGCACGGAATCGAAAATATAAACGAAACTAATTTGTGCACGTTTGGAGATGGTGTTCGTTTGACAATAGGATGAGAAAGAGAATCCTCAATAAACAGACATTCTTTTTTTAAATGTTATATGTAAACGGGGGAAAAACAGCAAAAGCAGACAATTCTCAAAAGTCAAAGTTACTGGTAATCTTTCTAACAAAAGTTTCACCTACGTTTTTAGAGGTTTCTATGATTATTTTCATAATTATGATGCCTATTGAATGCAGATTCTATAGTAGAAAGAGCAACGCTTAGTTCCTCACCCTCGCTCTTCTACATTCGATATTGCATCCTTCTGTATAGAAAATCAGTTTTTGCGATTTTTATTAACTATAAAGCAAGAGGCGTGTAGATGGGCTAAAACACCCAATATAGAATATCAAAGTACATAAACACTCAATTTCAAAATGATGCATAGTTTATAAACAACTAACAACGAACGAGATGACATCACAAGTCTAATAGATTCTAAGCTTATTGTGCCGATGGTGCTAGCAACTGATGTAGATAGCTGTCAGCCAAACAGCCATTAATAAACTCTTCTTTGGATAATTTATTATCAGAATTTGCGTCCATTTTCGAAAATATCTGATCTACTTTCGCCTCAGAGCTGTTCGGACCTTTTTTATCTTCACCAAGTAAATCATAAATGGCCTAGAGAAACAACAAGAAATTGTTAAAGTAACAAAACAACAGTC